GGTCTCACTATGCAGTTCAGGCTGTCCTTGAGCTCACTTTGTAGCCCAGGCTGGCCTTGAACTCGCAACAATCCTCCTGCCTCAGCCTCCCAAGTGCTGGGGTTACAAGTGTGCACCGCCATGCCTGGCCGAAGTCCGCTTCTTTTAAAGGACTTTATGAATGATCCTGTTGCACTCGGGATTCTCAGCTTGGACCCCTGGATAGGTATCAGGAAAGTCTATGGACACTCAGAGGTTGCTTTACAACGTTTTAGTACATACCTCTATGTATTGCATTTTCCTGGAAAAGTTCTTTACCTTTCCTTGTATTCTTAGGGGTCTGTATTCCAGCTTGAATACCTTTGTATTATAGAAGACGATGCACCATAGTTCATGGATTGCCTTACAGCACATTGTAAGAATTCACAAGGAATTTATAAAGTAATACATAAACACTAACGTTTGACATATGAAAAACAAAGCTAGACTTACCTTATGGGTAGCAAGACCATCAGAAGTAATTAAGTAACTTCAGTACACTTAAGGAAAAGAACTCAAATGCTCTTACCCTGTAACGTCTCCAGTATTGTCCTGTAACTGTCACGTCCCCTGATTGGATGTGTGGAGACAGACACCTCATTGGCATGGCTGCTTTTTTTCCACAAAAAGCCTAATCATAAGAAAAACATTAGGCAAACCTACGTTAGGGGACATTCTACAGGATACCTGGCCAGTATCCTCAAGACTTTCAAGGTCATGAAAAACAAGGAAAGCCGGACATAGTGGTGGTGCACACCTGTAATCCCAGCACTGGAGAGGCTGAGGCAGAAGGATCATTGTGAGTTTGAGACCAGCCTGGGCTACAAAGTGAGCTCAAGGCAACCTGAACTGCATAGCGAGACCTTGTCTCAAAAAGACACACACACACACACACACACACAAAAGGGAAAGAAAAGAAAAACAAGGAAAGACTGAGAAACTATCATAGATTAGAAGAGAGATTACAGTTAACTGCACTGTGATATCCCAAAGGGAATGCTGGAACAAAAGAAAAGAAGACGTTTATGAAAAAATTGGTGAACTCCAACTATACTCTGGAGTTGAGTTAGTAATAACATATTGTTTCTGAGCCGGGTGTGGTGGTGCGTACCTATTAGCGCAGCACTTGGGAGGCTGAAGCAGAAGGATTGCTGTGAGTTCAAGGCCAGCCCGAGCTACATGGCAAGACCCTGCCTCAAAAAAAAAAAAGTATTTTAGTTTTGCTAAATATGGTAATATGAGGTGCTAACAATGGTTATTTTTTGTAACCTTCCTGTAAACCTAAGATTATTCCAGATTTTATAACCTGATGAGTTTAAGGTAGAGGTGTCACAGACCCATGCATGTACTTGGCCTCTGAGGGGCCATGTACCTCTGACACAGGGCAATGCAGTGGTTTTGCTGTGTCTTAATGTCCCTAACCTTTACTTTGCTTAATCTTAAAGTAGGGACAGTGAAAGTGCTTGCCTCAAGCTGAGTGTGGTGGCGTAGGCCTGTGACCATTCTTGCGGCCCCATGAACTGCAGCTATAGTGAACTTCCAGAGCTTTGACATCCTGTTTTTTCTGCCTGAATCTCTCTTAAGCCATCCTTGAAGATGCTGCTTGTTATG